GTGGTCTTCCTCGCTCTTTTCGGAGCAATTAGAGCCTCTGAGGTTTGAGTCCTTCAAAGTTCACTTTTTTTCTCTCCAATTTTTTCTTCTCTGAACGATATTGATGCGGTCTCATTCGCTGGCGTAGTTGTAGGCCCTTAAACAGGCACGAGGTGACGCTGAACAAACAAACGGACATATTATTTGATCACATTTCTATATGTGTCAGTCAAAGAAAAGCTCAAAAAAGACTAGTTTTTATGTACACAACGTCGATGGCTGAGGTTCGCCCGCAAACTTCCGGGGGGACGAGAAAAAATCCTGAAAATTTGCTATTTTTGTTTGTATGTACCTATTTTTCAGGGATTTTGCGAGGACTACTTGGATTGTATGCAACGTTTAGAAGCTAAACAGAACGATTGTCTAATGACGGAAAGAAACATACAGTAAGTCACTTCCTTCTCTTTCCTAGCAAATTTCTTGCTTATCCCTGACCGATTAGGATGAGTAGCTCTGATCGTTGCGCGCGAAAAAAATGGGACGTTAAAATGGCGCTGAATGGTCTTCATCTCCGAAGAGCAGAACTAGCAAGGGATTGCGTACAAAAGAACATTCAAGATGCAACAATATCGGAATCTACGCTTAATGAGGAGGAGGTGAGTAAGGAGGACCAGTTCTCGTTTTATAATCTTTAATAAGATTCTTAGGAATTTTTTTAGAATTGCTTGAGCGATCTAAAGTATGATCGCCAGTTTGGTGAATAGGATTTTCCTCAGCTAAAGGATTACTATAAGTTCTGTTGCATAAAAAACAATTGAATGACTAATTCCGAAGGACAGAACTTGTTTCTCCAAAACTTTCTCCAACAGAGGATCGCCTACATTAGAGTTCAAATAATTTAACAAAATAGGCGTTTTTCTGGATATAATTTCTTATTTATACCCCGTACAATGAAATTTCTCCCCATCCTTGTACTCTTGTTGCCATGTCCATTAAAGTGGCCTATTTCCAAATAATATCTTTTTAGTTGCAAAGTTGTCGCTCCCTTCATGCGAAATTTCCATTTGCACCAGGAAATAAGCGAA